ATCACCTTATCTTTGATAAAGGATGTAAGAGTATACAGTGAAGAAAGACAGCCTCTTCAATAAGTGGTGCTGGGAAAACTGGACAGCTACATGTAAAAAGTGAAATTAGAACACTCCCTAACACTGTGTACAAAAATAACCTCAAAATGGATCAAAGACTTAAATGTAAGGCTAGACACTATAAAACTCTTAGAGGAAAACATAGGCAGAACACTCTGTGACATAATTCACAGCAAGATCCTTTTTGACTCACCTCCTACAGAAATGAAAAAAAAAAAATCAACAATTGGGACCTAATGAAACCTCAAAGCTTTTGCACAGCAAAGGAAACCATAAACAAGACCAAAAGACAACCCTCAGAATGGGAGAAAATATTTGTAAATGAAGCAACTGACAAAGGATTAATGTCCAAAATATGCAAGCAGCTCATGCAGCTCAATATCCAAAAAACTAACAACACAATCCAAAAATGGGCAGAAGACCTAAACAGACATTTCTCCACAGAAGACATACAGATTGCCAACAAACACATGAAAGGATGCTCAACATCACTAATCATTAGAGAAATGCAAATCAAAACTACAGTGAGGTATCACCTCACACCAGTCAGAATGGTCATCATCAAAAAATCTATAAACAATAAATGCTGGAGAGGGTGTGGAGAAAAGGGAACCCTCTTGCACTGTTGGTGGGAATGTAAATAGATACAGCCACTATGGAGAAGAATATGGAGGTTCTTTTAAAAACTAAAAATAGAACTACCATACGACCCAGCAATCCCACTACTGGGCATATACCCTGAGGAAACCATAATTCAAAAAGAGTCACGTACCACAATGTTCATTGCAGCTCTATTTACAATAGCCAGGACATGGAAGCAACCTAAGTGTCCATCGACAGATGAATGGATAAAGAAGATATGGCACATATATACAATGGAATATTACTCAGCCATAACAAGAAACGAAATTGAGTTATTTGTAGTGAGGTGGATGGACCTAGAGTCTGTCATACAGAGCGAAGTAAGTCAGAAAGAGAAAAATAAATACTATATGCTAACACGTATATATGGAATCTAAAAAAAAAAAAAGGTTCTGAAGAACCTAGGGGCAGGACAGGACTAAAGGTGCAGACATAGAAAATGAACTTGAGGTCATGGGGAGAGGGAAGGGTAAGCTGGGACGAAGTGAGAGAGTAGCATTGACATGTTTACACTATCAGATGTAAAATAGATAGCTAATGTGAAGCAGCTGCATAGCACAGGGAGATCAGCTAGGTGCTTCGTGACCATCTAGAGTGGTGGGAGGGAGACGCAAGAGGGAGGGGATATGGGGATATATGTATACATATAGCTGATTCACTTTGTTATACAGCAGAAACTAACACAACATAGTAAAGCAATTATACTCCAATAAAGATGTTAAAAGAAAAAAAAAACCAAAACCCATGTGAATCAGATCAGTTTTAAAGACTGGGGATTGTGGGGTTTGTGGCTAACATTTACCTCTTCAAAGCATTTGAATTCCATGTACAAAATCACACTACAAAACACAGTTGTAGTCAGGAGGTCGGGGCAATCATGCACTGCCTCTGTTTTATATTATACGTAAAGCTTTCACTTAAAAAGAACAATTTTAGTTTCACTTAGTTGGAAGACGGAGAACAGATTTTAAGTTGTTTATGGAGCTTTCAAATTGTGACAAACTCTTTCAGGGCTGGTGGATGTAACCACTATTATTACAGTATACTTTTGTATGTATAAGGAACCTATGTTTTTATATTCTAGAACTGCTTTTGGTTCTTATGCTAATTGGCAATTTCTGTTTCATTGATTTATTTTTTAATCATAGACAGTTTATTTAATCTCCGTACACCTCATTGCTCTCTGTTTCTTAGTCCAGACATAGAGAGTAACACAGATTTGAGAAGATTATTTCGGTAGTGGGACACATCCTGAGTGAGATGGAGAGCTCTTACACATTCCTCACAGCCAAGATGGCAAGGAAACCTGTTTCTTGAAGGTAAACTCATGCCCATTCTGTTTTACACTGTGTTGTCTTTCTCAATTTTCTCCAGTACTTCAGCTACAACAATTATAACAATATCCAGTGTGGTGCAACATGGGTGCAAAGAGAATAACACATGTAGAAAGTGAGATGAGAACAGGGATATATAATTATGTAGGAGCAGAAAACAATAAATACTATAGCAACTAACCTTTATTAGTTACGTTAGGAAAGTTGCTTTTAAAGTACTTAACTCATTTCCATAACAGAAGTAGGTAATATCATGACTCCATTTTACAGATGAAAAAGTTGAGGAACAGAAAGGTTAAGCAACTTGTCCAACCTCACAGATCTAGTAAGAAATGAAGCCAGGATTCAACCCAGGCAGTCTGACTGGATGGCCTGTGCTCTTAACCAACACAAACCAACACAAATTTTGATGATATTGAAAATGAATCACTAAGCCTTCCACAGTTCACTGGAAGGGATACAAAAGATAAACACTGATCCCGGAATGTCAGAATATGTGAGGACAACCAGAGAGCAGACTATCTGTTTATCTATTTCTTTCTCCATCTCTCTATATCTTTCTAGATATATATTCCAAATACATATCTCTATATATCCCAGCATTAGAGCATTTGAAACTGTAGCAAAATTAGTCCTTCTTTAAAGCCTCTTAACTTCCGTAATACTTCACTGTCCTGACTCACCTTAACTCAATGTTAACAGTGACTTCAGTAATAGCCAACTTTTTATTAAACACATTTACTCTGACCCAGGCACTGCACTAAATACTTTCTACACATTAACATGTTTAACTCTACCTTCATACCTCTTAACCTTCTCATTCCTCCTCTTCATATAAGTGAGCACTGATGCAAGTTTCCTTTCCTGCATGTGATTCAATGATCCCCTCTTTCAGACCTTTCCCAAGTTTATATCCTGGCTCTACCCTCTTTGCTGGGATCCAACTTCACATTTGTGAGCATCTGGTCCTCAAGTTCATCTTAATGTCGGGCTGGCAGAAGTGACGTTTGTTTTTTATCAAAATTCAAGGTGATTTCTTCCCCAAACTGTTTCTTCTAATGACTTCCAAATGACCATTAGTGCCACCTCCATCCTTCCCGTCTGCCATCTGGAACCGCCTTTGCCACGTTCCTCCAAGTCCTGCCTCTACAAACTGGCTCTCCCGTCCCCCAGACTCATAGCTCTTTCTGTCGCTTTCCATCAACTCTTCGTCTTCACTCCACGTTACACCCTCGGGCAGACTCTAACAATTCCACCCAAAGTTTCCCTTTTTAATCTTTAATCTTATTGCCAAATTAATTTTCCTAATGTTCAGGGTTTTTTCTCAAATTCTTATATATTGATGACAATTTTATCTGCAATAAGATAGTTATGAACTCACCATTGGTTTTTATTTTTACTAATTTTTCTGATATATGTAAATTTCTTCTTTCTTCCCCCAGTTTTATTGAGATATAATTGACTGTATCAGTTTCAGGGGAATGGCATAATGATTTGAAATATGTATATATTGCAAAACGATTAGCACAACTTTCGCTAACATCCATTGCCTCACACAGTAACAATTTTTTTTCTTGTGGTGAGAACTTTTAAGAACTACTCTCTCAGCAACTTTCAAATATATAAAACAGTATTGCTAACTATAGTCATACTATACATTACATCCCCAGAGCTCACTTACCTTATAACTAGAAATGGGTATCTTTTAACCACCTTCACCTAATTCCTCCATCCCCAACACCCATCTCTGGTAACCTCAAATCTGATCTGTTTCTATGAACTTGGGCTTTTTAGATTTCACATATAAGCGAAATTACACAGTATCTCTCTTTCTCTGTCTGACTTATTTCACTTAGCATAATGCCATCAAGATTCCTCCAGGTTGTCACAACTGGCAGGATTTTCTTCTTTCTTGTGGCTGAATAGATTTCTATTATATATATACCATGCGTTCTTTGTTCATTCATCGATGGATATTCCAGCTGTTTCCTTACTGTGGCTATTGTAAATAATGCTGAAATAAACGTGGGTGTGCAGATATCTCTTCAGGTGATTTCCTTTAGATACATACCCCAAAATGGAATTGCTGGATCATATGGCAGTTCTATTTTTAATTTTTTGAGCAACCTCTATATAGTTTTCCATAGTGGCTGCACCAATTTACATTCCCACCAAAAGTACAAAAAGTTCTCTTTTCTCTACAACCTCACCAGCATTTGTTATCTCTTGTCTTTTGGATGGCAGCCATTCTAAAAAGTGTGAGGTGATATCTTTTTGTGGTTTTAATTTGTATTTCCCTAATGATTAGTGATGTTGAGTACTTTTTCATGCACCTGTTGGAATCACTGATTTTAAAATATCTACCAAATTTCTAATCACTCCAATATTTGAGTTCAACTCATCCCTGGCCTACTTATTTTTATTCTCCTTTTTATTCTCTTTGTCTATTATATACTCCAATAAAACAATTACAGTTCCCCAAATAAACCAAGCCAAAAAATGCTCACTTTTTTACACTATTTCTTTCACCTGAAAGTGTATTTTTCCTTATGGAAATAGTGCCCATCTTTCAAGGTCCCTCTTAAATGTCCTCCATGAAATCTTCCCTGATTGCCCAAGAAGCAATTACTCTGTCTTTGAAACTTCCATGACATTTTAGTTGTTCTCATATGGCCCTTACTGCTTTTAACATGTATTGTATTTATTTCTCTATGTGTCTTATTTTCATACATGACCGTATAGAACCCTATAGTGATAGGCATCATATTTTGTAAATCATTATCATTGAATCAGTCAGAATCCTGAGTTGGGGTCACAGATGGCACTCTCAAATTAAGAGGTCTTGGAAAGTGAGGGCAAGGTGTAGAGAAACCACAGGGACACTGGCGTATTCCGGGCTCATAACAGCAGAGCTGTTACCATCTCCACACTTTAGGGAAGTGAGTGACTTTTAGAAGCACTGACCTTTGAAGTTATGGCAGCATTGAGCAGTGATGTGATCTTTCCACCCAGCTTGAGACAATCTTGTAGGGAGGGTCCAGGTGCAGTAACGCCACACCTTCATCCTTCTCTTCTACAACCTCCTATTGGTGCTCCGATTGGCCAAACATAATTCAGGACCAAAGGGCAAAGTTGCCTGATGACTCTACATTTCCTGTGGCAGCAAATTGGGTGGAGAAAGGTAGAGAGAGGTTCTGACACAATCACTAAGATTTTACATTTAGTAAATTAATTTAATTAAACATTTAATAAATATTTATGGAATACCCCTTCAAGTTGCAAATACTACTTCATGACATTTTGAGGTTGAGATATTTTAAAGGTTGTAAGGTCTAGTTGATTTCCTTTACTATTTATTTCTAAGCATACTTTTACACTCTACTCATCTCAGTGATATAGGAAAAGCCTTTTTTTCTTCCCCGAAATGTGTACTCTTATGATATTTCTTATGAGATGAGATGACTTTTCAATAAACTGATGCTGACACAGGGATTGTTTTTTAAATGTAGATTTTAAAAATGACAATTTTCCGGTGGAGGGGAGCAGCGAAGAAGTTTGGTAAAAAGTGATCTACCTGGTTCCTAAATTTCACATGTCTCTTGCCAAAGATTATTTAAAAAGCAAGTTTTCTTTTCCATTTTAACTTGCTATCTACCTTGAACTTTCACTGTGGCTATCTATTTTCACAGACCTTAATACACATTAAGTCAAAGAAAGAGTAACGTGACACCTAAAGTACAAGGAATTCAGTTCATTATGCTGAGTAGATTTATTGAGATTCTAATACTGCGATTGTCCTGTGCATTGCTCTCAGTTCAGACATTAAGCTTTTAAATAAAGAATTCACCAACACCAATACCAAAAAATGAAAAACACAAACCAAATGTTATGTTAAATATATACATATTATATACAATATAAGTATATGTATTTATATAAACTAAAGAAGTCTCAAAAAATTCAAAGAAATACCTCTATATGAGGAGTATGGGATGTGATTAAAATGTCAAAATGAAGAAAAATGTTTAATATTTTATATATTACAATTATGATGAGGAATGATCATTTCCCTAGTCTTCAATCTAAGTTTGATTTTAGTGGCTGTCCCAGGACATTATTCTTCCTGTTGTTACTCTCTAGAGTGGCACTGATGTCGACTGTTCTTCATCATTGCCACTAGTCATTAATGTGATATTGTAAATAAGAAAGCAACAAATGCCTCATGGTGCAAATATATAACTAGTGCTAGTTGTGAAGTATAGGGTATGACAAGATTCATGATTCATTTTCCAGATTCCCAGGCTGATAAATTCTATAAGATAAAAAAACTCCCAAATTTTCTCACTTAATTCAGAGGGCTCTAATTTATCAAAGATTAAGTCATATTAGAACATTCTTACGTCTTCCCTTTGCTTTTCTCCCTATAGCAGAACTCTAAATTCTTTGGAATATTATGTAGGCAAAGAGCATCAGATACTGAAATGATTGCCTCTGACCTTGAAATACTCTTTCCCTGTAGCAGATGGCTGGCTGGCCCCCAGAGTGACATGATTTCCTTACATAGTACAGAGTTGTGTTAGAAGGGGCTGACTAGAGTAAACATGGCTGCAGTCCCCGGGGCTCCTTGCATCTAAGGGGTGCCATACAACTAGTTCTCACTGATGCAATGTGAGTAGAAGAGATATATGTCACTTCTAGGTCAAAGTAGTTAAGAAGAAGATAGGCTTTATCCAGGACCCTAAAGGAAGGCAAAGTCACAATAGGGAAGAAGCCTGGGATCCTGAATGACAAAAGTAAACCATCCATTGACCAGGTACATCTGCAATGGACAAAGGCATTGCTGACCAAAATTTTCCTTTTGTATTATACCTCTGAGATAGTAATATTTAATATAAGTGAGTACCATGATATTGAAATACAGTATATATTATATATAAAAGATCACAACATATAAACTTACAAAATATAAACTACAAATACAAAAAATATTACAAAATATAAAATATTATGTATTTATATATATTTGTCAAAGGTGTGTATATATATGTAAATATATTTTATAATATATAAATATATACAATATTTTATATTACATATATGCTGTATATACACACATACATGCATACACACACACACCTATGGCAGATATATATATAATGCTTTGTATTTTTTAATATTTTTGTATTTTGTAAATATAATTACATTACATAATTGATATAATTATATATTTTGCAAAAGTATATATTATATTTATATATAATAAATATATGATATATTTTTATCTTCCTTCATTAGGATAAAATGTTCTGAAAGGCAAAAAACTGAAAAGAAAGGAGCCTTGTTGCTTTTACTTCTACTTTAGTTAATACATGTCAATCCAAAACTGAGGACAGTAGACTTCCACCCATTCCCTTGAAGAACTGTCTCTGCTGATTCTTAATTACAGCTAGACTGTGAAGAGCTTGTAAGCAAGAGAGCAAGAAACCCTATCAATTTAGTATTAAGTATCAGTATTAATTACTCGTGTGAAGAAATATGTGATTGTACAAATGGCTCAATGATGGTTACAAAGGAGTTTGCATTTGCAAACAAATGTCTGCAATTTGCCTGGTAAGCACCACTTACAGAATTTAAAAAGTGTAGCCCCTGAAATCAGACAAGTAATTCATACAGCGGTTCCTGTTCTTGCGTTAGAGGGTTCTCTGCTGTGACTGTGTTCACCTCTGGCAGCTCCATTACTTAGTCTCCCAAACTGGCTCATTTGAGGACTACCTCGGAGTGTGTCTTCCCTCTCAATGACTGGTCCTATTACTGATTTGATGTTTTCCCCAGAAGAAACTCTCTTGGAATTTACATAAAGCATCTCTCTTGACCCCACTTCTGCCATCAGCGATTGTTCCATATATTTGCTCCCTTGTGATCATAACACCTTAAGAGACTTGTTTTTGTTCCCTGTCTCCAATTCATCTCTGGCCAGGCTCTTTTAAACTACTCCCATAGGACTTTTTCTTCGCCATTCCACACACCATTATACCGTTACAGGGTCATCCATGAGCTCCACATTTCTCAATCCAAAGGTCTCAGTCCTCACCATATGTGACCATCAGCAGCATTTGACACAGTTGATGAGTTCTTCCTCCCTGACATACTTTCTTCACTTGGTTCCAAAATCCCTCCCCCTATTGACTGTCCTCTTGTCCTATTGGTCCCTCCTTCTCAGTCTCCTTTGCCAATTTCTCTTTTCCATAACTTCTTGATGCCCAAGTATCTCAGATCTCAGTCTGTAGTCCTTTTCTCTATCTACACTCGTTCCTTTGGTAATCTCATCCAGTTTTACTGCTTTCAATGTATTTATTTGCAACTATTTCCAAATTTATGTCTCCTGCAAACTCTGGACTGCAACAGCATACTTGACATCTTGAGGTACTTAGATGCCTAATAGACAAGAATGATTTCACATGTTCCAAACAAAGCTCAGATATACCCCCGTGGCTATATGATCTGCTCTACCCATATTTTGCAGGTATACTGAGTATAAGGTATACCTTATATCCAGTATGTCAGGAAATCCTGTTGATTCTGCCTTAAAAATATACCTAGAACCTGACTGCTTTCCACCTTTTCCATCGCTACCATCTGGTTGGATCCGTCATCATCTTTTACCTGGATTGCTGTGATAGCCTTATAATCCTTTAAAATAATAAGAAAAGCCATGTCAGTCCTCTTTTCAAACTGTCAAGGGCTCCTATCTCACTCAGAGTGAAAAACTAAATCCTCACAATGGTCTACAAGGACTCAAATTGCCTCTCTGTCTTCAACTACTCACTTTTCTCTTGTGCTCTCTCTTTCAGCCACACTGGCCTCCACGCTGCTTCTCAAATATGCTATATACTTGTTAACACAGGACCTTTGCACTGGCTGTTACCTCTACTTGGCCTATTCCCCCTCCAGATATCCACATGGCTAACTTGACCTCTTCATGTCTTCGTTGAAATGTCATTTTTTTAACCTGGAGCTCAGTCTGAACCCACGTTAGAAATCTTCCCTCTTTCCATGCCTTGCTATACTTCTCTTATTTTTCTATAGCAACTTTCAATCTCAAATCAATCATACCATTTACTTATTAATTATAACTATTCTGTCTCAACTGTAGCCCCTGATCATACATAAACTCCCCATAGGCAGGAGTCTTTACAATTTTTATTCACTTGCATTCCCTCAGCAGTTGGAACCGTGTCTGGAACAAGGCTTATGCTTAACAAATACTTGCTGCATGGACTGAATACAGGAAAAAAGCAAGTGTGTGTTACCTGAGCCATTCACTCTTCCACAAGTGAACTTAATCACTCACTCACCTTGTGCAATGTTCAGATTAGTAGGCGTGGATTATCTAAACATTTTAATTATTTTTCAGTAGTTTATGTGAGGGGTTCCTGGTGTACCCAGTTATTTAATAATGATATAATCTACTTATCAAATGTTGAGAAAAACAAAATGTAGATAGGTTAGTACTTTGCTAAAAGCAATAAACCTTGTAAGAAATGCAGACTAAATCTGCCTCTGCAACTCCAATTTGTTGATTCTCAAACTGTCTGTGGTGAAATTCCCAATCCATCACAGAACTTTTGTAAAGTATAATAAAAAGGAATTACCAGAAAAGTAAAAATTCAAAAAGGTACAAATAATACAAAGTCCACTTGTTTAGTATGAGGTTCAACAAAATTGTCAAATGGTTAAACATTTCTACTCTCAATTTTTGCATTTGTCTTATCGTGAACAGTAAGGAAGTGTTGGCATATCCCCATGGGTCCTAGAACCACACTTGGTGCAGGGCCACCCTAATCTATATGCCTCCCTATTCCCATCTCTTTCTATATGTGCCCTTGACATGAGCCTGCAAACCTTATACACGTAACTGCTCTGTTACCACTGTAGTGTCTCTGTCTCACTCACACTAAATAAACTGTATGGTAGGCACCTTAATCTAACACAGGTAGTGTGGTCACTGAGAATATAGGATAAGATCTCACAAAAACTTTACACAAATTTGTCTCCCAGGGCTAGGATGGCTTGTAATCACGCTCACCTTGCCCCTCCCAGAAGACCTTCCCACAGAGTTAGACAACTGTGTGTATGGGGACCTGGTGACTCTGCTAGGAGGACAGGGCTATTTTCATCTCCTTGGTCATGTCCTTTGTCAAGATGCTCAACAAACTGGCAGCAGAAACGGCAGTTTTCCTGTCAGACTTGTCACGTTTCGGTATAAACGATTGTGTCCAGTGGTTGTCCAGGAAACAGTTTTGCAATCTGCGTTTAATCAAATTCATTGAGTTTTCACAGCATTACAAGCAGTTCGTGACTGTCATTTTCCCCACAGATGACTCTATTCCTCAGTACCACTTACCCACTTAACACCTCCTGGCAACGGCCAGTGCCAGCCGCCTGCCTCCACGGCGCCAAGAGGAGCAACTTCTGACGCAGAGTGTGAATATTATGTTATTACATTTAGTCTTTCCTCTGTGTGTTATCACTCAGCACAACGCCCTTCTGGATTATAGAAAATCAGATGGCAAATAATATTGCTTCCATACTGTTTTCTCCTCCCAGATTCCAGGGTTTGCCGCCAACAGCCAGCCACTCTCTGGACCCAAGGCAAACCATTAGGTATTGTTCCAATGCCTGAGCATTGCTCAAAACCGCACTGCACTGGATTATGTGGAATGTACACTAGCACTGCGTCTGTTGCTGCGTCTCCCTACTGTGAGTCTGTGAGGTTTTTAGCGCGGAACACCATCTAGAGCTTGGCTTATGCAACACATAATTTCAATTCTCTTCATCACAATGCGGGGTTTGTTTTCCATTCCTAAATTTCTGTGTGGACAGAAGTGTGGGATGGGTTGTACATGCTGAGCTGTACATGTACAATCACCCTGATGAAATCTTGGGCAGATGAGCTATGGCTGACACACAAAACAACAACAACAAAACCCATCAAAATTGGTGTGTAGCATCTTATAAGCAAAAGCTAGTTGCTTGACCTAGGGTTTTTATTTTTCAACTTTAAGGTAGGTGTTGTGTAGAACTTTACCCCCGAAAATCTGATTTAATGGGTGTCCCTGACTCTGAAAAGTGACTTCTCATTCATTCATTTACTGTTCTGGCAATAAATATGTATTAAGTGCCCATTATGTTTTTCACTTTAGTATTTCAAGTTGCCTAATGGAATATTTGTCTAATGTGAGTTCAATGGGACATTAGGTTCATGGGTGTTGTGAAAAGGAATTATTCTATGGTCAATCGAGTTGGCAAAAAAAACTGCATTAAACAAAGGTAATCATGCCTATTGGAAGAATGGTTTCTCAGAGTTGACAGTAGGCTAACGTGCATTGAGAATTTCTAAGTGGGGAATTTAAAGGGTCAGATTAGCAATAGTGTTTTAGTTAACTGGATGCCTCTGGCCTCTTGCATTTTTCTTCAGAATACCCATAGCCCTCATATTTCTCAGAACATATTTTGGTAATTGTATCTTTACGTTCTACTGATCATTAATATTTATGTGACACCTCCCTCTCCCCGAACCTTTTCCATTTTCCTCTCCCCGAACCTTTTCCATTTTCCCTGCAGTTAGGTGTGGGCATTATGACTAGTTGTGGCCTATGGTCTTCAGCAAATCAACGCATCGCAGAATGGTTGTGAGTTCTACAGGCTCTGTCTTTCCCTCTAGTGGTGATCACAGGGGATGAAGAATGAGATGTTGAGGTCAAAAGACGAGAAAGGTCTGAATCTCTGAGTCAGCATTTCAAGAAAGTGACTGTGAAGAGACAAAGACTAGAGTGGAATCGGCATGAGTAGGAAATAAACTCTTATGGTTTTGAAACTCTAAGGTTTTGAAGTATGTTACTGCAGCCCAGCTGATCCTGGCCTCTCTGTCTATAATGAAGCTACTGTGGATGACATTTTTTTCTTTTCTTTTTTTTTTTTTTTGCGGTACGCGGGCCTCTCACTGTTGTGGCCTCTCCCGTTGCGGAGCACAGGCTCTGGACGCGCAGGCCCAGCGGCCATGGCTCACGGGCCCAGCCGCTCCACGGCATGAGGGATCCTCCCGGACCGGGGCACGAACCCGCGTCCCCTGCACCGGCAGGCGGACCCTCAACCACTGCGCCACCATGGAAGCCCCTGGATTACATTTTTTATGTATGGCATGGAATTCTATCTATACAAAATGGATTGTCTTCCTGACCATAATTACGTGTTCTCATTTGTGTGCAGATTTTACCAACTCATCATTGCTTAACAAGTATTTGGAAGAAAAGAAAAGAATTTTTGAAAAGGTGGGAAGAGAGTCAGTACAATAAGCTGCGTTTCTTACTAAAAGATTTCCAGCAGGTGCTGCCTGTGAGAAAGAATATGCTAGAGCCTATGAACACACTTATGTCTGAGAGAAGAGTCTTTCCTTGCCTCAGATAGGATTTTTTTCCACTTAATTTATGAGTCTAGGTAAAAACATAAATCCCCTTCACCTTCAAGGAAAGCCTTTGGTCCTAAAGCAAGGACCAAAGAAGAAGCCATTTTATCAGAAACTTAAGTATCTTCATTACAACACCAACAACATTTATTACATCCACTAGTTGGCAGGATACTCTTTTGAGCTCCAAAAGAATTTACATAATTTGGCCCCTGGGATTTTTATAGTCAAAAGCAGCATCACTTAACATCCCCCCCCCACCTCTCCTGAGCACACATGATCAATGACATTCACATGAATGATGCATTTGCATGTTCAAAGCCACGGTTATGCACCATTTCCAGCAAAACGTTGGTCATCCTTCCTTCTCTCTTCCAGTCAAGAGACATAGTGTGATGCAAATAAGTAAGAGGGATATCCGAGGAATAGCCTTGAACGTGTCCTATTTATTTAAAGGAATACTTTGTGAACTCTGTTTTTTTAAACTCTACAAGTGAAAAGTTCATTGGATTTGCAAAACTACTGACCCTTACATGCTGGTGATTATAGTTAACATTTATGGAATGTTTTCTATAGACAATGCAGCACTCCAAATACGTGTAAGTATAGACATACGGCTGTTTTTATATCAATTCACTTAGTCCTCACCACAATCATCTGAAAGGGCATTATTATTGTCCCCCATTTTGCAGAAGAGGAACCTGAGGTAGAAAGGAGGAAGTGACTTGGACAAGGTTATGCAGCTGGGAATTAGTAGAATTGATATTACGTCATCTGCCAAGTGACTTCAAAGCTCACATCCTTTGACATCACTAAAATATTATAAAATAGTATCATAAAAGAGTATGTCATAATATTTACAGTTGAGAACAGCTAAGCATCTCTAGACCGCTCTTAGTTTACTGCTAGATCTTGGGAATCTAAGTTTCCCTTTTTCTCGAGGGGTTGTGAAGATTTACTGCAAAATCCCTTGTAACCATAGGAAGTTATAATCCTTTTAAGAAACATTCACTATCACCACCTCATTGAGGGAATGACAGAAAGGAAGATGGCACATGGGTTATCCTTCCATTTTGTATTAGAGAACCATTGTGGAGTCAGAGCTCTGGGATTCAAAACGTAGCTCTACACTTGCTCTGCAACCATTCTGATTTTCATTTGCTCTTTTGTCCAGTATCATTCATTGAGTACCCAGTCTGGGTCTAGCACCTTTCCAGACCTTGCAGAGACAGCACTGGACAGACAGGCCAGGTTCTTGCCCTCACGATACTTACATTTCAGCGGGAGGAAGCAGGTAATGCATCAGGACACAAGTTCATTAGAGGACCACTTTCAGAGAACAGTGAATTACCTAAAGAAAAAAATATAGAGTAATGTGAGCCACAGTAACTGTAGAGAGGGTACAAAAAAATCACTGAATAGAAACAGAATATGTTGGGCATAATGTTAATGGAAAGTATAGAGTACAACGTTCTCTCTATACTTTTTGTGACATGAAACTGAAGATGCACATAAATAAAACATGGATGTTTTCAGAATGACTTTTGTGGGTAATTCTCTTCTTGTGTTGATATTATTTTCAAACTAGTCTGTAGTGAAACAATGCATTTAAAATGCTTTCCCTTCAAAAACAATGTAAAAGCTTCAACTGTATTTTAATAAAGAAAAATTAGGAAAAAATACAAAACTAAACAATCATGCAATGTTGATATGGACTACTCAGCTGTCATAAAAAATGAGAACAATAAAGACAATACAGCCGCCTACGAATGTTCGTGATACAGTAAGAATATACGGAATACAAAATTATTTATGACAGCTATTATAACTACATAATATTTTACATGCATAAAACAAAGAGATGAACATTGCCCAGACAATAAAGTCAGTTGAATAGTAGGGAAATTGGATTGTATATGATATTTTCTTATTCTTGGTATTTATGAAATTATTTTTAAACTGCTCATATGATTTTAAAACAAAGCAAGCACTCTAACGATTTTGAACAATCCCCGCTGACTTCATTGAGGGGAAGAAAAAGTTTTCCTTATTTGACTTTCATATAAAGTATTATTCTATAAAAGTTTTAATATATGTTGCTCTTGCAAATGGGTGTCCTAAACTACACGTAAATCTGTTTTCAATTCAGTAGTTAATCATCGCTAGACAGACACGTACTCCAGGTAGGCTACTGAATCCATCAAAGAGTTGATCTCGCCAAGGTTAGTTACAAGTGGTGCTTGACTTTGTTCTTTTCTGTTTATTTTTTGTCTATGTTGAGGTTACTTCCCTATAAATCTAATTTACAAGTTTTCTCCTCACTGCAGTGTCTGGTAAGATGGCTAATTTTCTCCCCTAAGCTTGTGACAATTATAATTTTAGAATCTTTTCTAATTCCAGCTTCCCTTCTCCTTTTCATGTCTTTGTATACCCAGCAGCTTTTATACTAAATTTTGATACTAAGTCATTTGCATTTTACCATCTCCACTTAGAATACCATTACATTTAGAATAGGAAATCTTTTATTTTCAGAGACACTGGCTACCAGTATGTGTTCATATGAATCTTTCTACTTAGTGACTCACATATGACTCTGGACACCCTGATCATTTGGGGGAACTGTAGGGTCATGCCATTTTTTTTTTTTTTGCAGTACGTGGGCCTTTCACTGTTGTGGCCTCTCCTGTTGCAGAGCACAAGCTCTGGACACTCAGGCTCAGCGGCCATGGCTCACGGGCCCAGCCGCTCCGCAGCATGTAGGATCCTCCCGGACCGGGGCACGAACCCGTGTCCCCTGCATCGGCAGGCAGACTCTCAACCACTGCACCACCAGGGAAGCCCGGGTCATGCCATTTTTAATGTGATGTTTCATTCCGCTATTTTTATAGTTTGCATGGAATGCAGTCAAGTTTGTGTGAATGTCTGTATCTCATGTGATGTTCATTTGCTTCCGAAGGTCAAAGTATAAGGTAGGTGAACCATTAGCGGTGATTCCAGACCTGGAACAAGTTAATGACAGGCCTGAAATGGATGTTCTTACCAAGCATTTATAAGGTTACAGCTAGCCGCTTTCCCTCAGGGTCCCAACAGAACAGCAGCGAAATCTTTCAGTGTCCAAAACTCCCGCTGTGACTGCTGTCTTTCCCGCCCAGCCTTCATTGTATTGCATATGCAATATGTGGGTTACGGTAAATCCCTTTTTTCTCTCTTCAATCGTTATTGATTCAAGTGTTTATTAAGAAGTCACTACATGCCAAGCAATGGTTAATTCATTAGCTGGAACCAAACATTAACTCTCTGTGTCACGGACCTTCAACTAGAGGTGCAGACAGGAAATCCTTTAAACAATACGTAAGTAGGACATTGCAGAGAGTGAAAAGAGCTATAAAGGACATTAACTTGGGCAATAGGAAGTGGCTGAGTTCGGGGCTGGCACTTAGACGGGGTGATCAGAGTGAGTCTCCCTAAGAAACTGACATTTGAACTGAGATTTAAATGATGCGACTGGCCAGGTGCAGAGTTGGGGACTCTGTATCCGGTAGAGGCAACAGCAAGGGTCAAGACCCCACAGCTTCAGGGGGAAACTCGGGGTGCTTGAGGAATGGAAAGAAAGCCACTGGGTCTTGGGCAGCGTAACAGGGGAGCAAATGGCAGAGGTGAAGTTGGAGGGGTAGGCATGGGCCAGGTTAGGGGTTGGCAAGATATGGCGCATGGGCAAACTCTCCCTAGTTACCTGTTTTTGGTGAACCGATAATGTTTTTTACAAATGCACACTTGGAATCACTATGGTGATAGGGGACACTGAATAACAGTTAGTGCTATCCCTCTCACAAACAAGAATTTCACTCTTGTAATTATTAGTTAATGATTACAAAAATTATACTTATATATTTTAATAATAACCTTTTGTTATTTAATAAGAATAATTTTTTTAATATTTTGAAATTCACCAAAGACTTTTGTCAAAATTTGTTTTCTTTTTTCTGATGAAAGTACCTAGTAGTATCCTTGATTTTGCCTCTTGGTGCACAAAGCCATATATGCTTACTGTCTTTACAGAAAGTTTGTTAACTCCTAGGTTATATCATGCTAACTACTGTGGGAATACACTTTTTTAATCATCCTAAGTGGTTTTTTTTTTTTAATGATATCTGGTCCCTTTTTCTCTTATAACAAACATGTTCATTGAATGCCTAAGTGTGATATTATTGAGAAATAATACATAGTGAAAAAAATAGCCTCTCAGATTATAGATGATGCTGAAATTTTGAAGTTGATATTTCTACTTCTGTCTCAGTTTTCTTTCAGTCCTGTCAATCCAGTTTCCCAAACCGCATATAGACACATCCCTTAGATATAACTGACATATAACACTGTATTAGTTTAAGGTGTATTACTAAATAATTTGATATTTGTATATATTGTGAAATGGCCACCACAATAAATTTGGTTAACATCCATCACTTCATATAGTTACAATTTTTTTCTTGTGATGAGAACTTTTAAGATCTACTCTCTCAGCAACTTTCAAATATACAATACAGTGTTGTTAAATATGATCATTCTGTTGTGCATGACATCCCCAGGACTTATTTATCTTATTAATTTGTGCATTTTTTCTTTGACAGTGAGAAACCTGACTATATTACCTGTAATATATTTACTTATTTTTTATCCTTATATACACATAAAATTACCTTAGAATTGCTCACTCATTCTTCTATGAGAAACAGATTTATAAAGTCAAGCCCAGCATTTTAAAACAGGTCTTATTTGCCTTTGGCCTTATAATATCCACTTAAAATTCTGTTTTCCAAAGTCACTTAGGTTGCTTCTTTCCTTCTACCCCTTCATTTGTGATATGCTTACGTTAACTTATTACTATTTATATTCCACATTTGGCTTTCCCTCACATCCTGATTGATTTTGCTTATAAATATTTTTGTGCTTATATGTTTATTTTTTTGGTGTATTTTTCATTACTCTGGTTCTAAAAGTCAGAGCACTACGATAAAGTACACTCAGAGAAATGTCTCTCCTTCCTTTCCCGCTACCCTGTTCCCACTTTCAACTTCTTTCTACCCTTTTCTCACCCACCCCACGGAGGTAATGCATCTATTTAGTTTTTTGTTTAACCATCCTGCATTTCTTTTGTACAAATGAGCAGATACATGCGTATTTTTAATAGCGTCTTTTTCTTACATGAAGGAGAATGTACTATAGATATTTTTCTGTATTTGGCTATTTTCACTTAACAGCATGTTCTGGAAATCCCTCCAAATCACATTGTAGAACTTGTCCTCATTCTTCTTACAGCCTCACAGTGCTTCATTTTGTGGATGCATCATCCATCATTTATTCAACTCTGTTCCTAGGGATGGGCACTTAGGTTTTCTCCAAAATTTTGCAGTGACAAATGACGCTGCAAGGGACAACCTTGTGCATATGTATTTTCATATTGTTGGGAGTGCACCTTCAGGTAGACTTCTAGAAGAGGAACTGCAGGATCAAAGGTGCATGCGTGTGGAGTTTTGTTAGATTTTGCCCAATTCCCTGTCGGCATTCCCACCAGCAGTGTCTGAGAGTTCCTGCCTCTCTCAGCCTCAACAACAGAATGTACTGTCACACTGTTTAATTTGTGCCAGTGTTATAGGTGACGAATTCTGTGTCAGTGTCTTAACTTTCATTTCTCTAATTATGAGTGGTTGGTTCTTCATCAATTTCAGAGCAATTTATTTTGGCTGTGCCTCACGGCTTGTGGGATCTCAGTTCCCCGACCAGGGACAGAACCTGGGCCCCATCAGTGAAAGTGCTGAGTCCTAACCACTAGACCACCAGTGAACTCCTTGTTTTTTGACATTTTAAAATATCAGTTTTTGCCACTTTGTCTCTCAATTTTTAGAGATTTTAATCCATTAGAGACATTATTGTGGCATATTTTATACATATTTTCTCCCAGTTTTCAGTTGTATTTTGATTTCATATATGTTATTGTTAGGTTTTTCCCCCCATGTAACTTCTTCCTTTTATTGTAGTAAATTTGTCAATCTTTTCTTATATTACTTTTGGATTTGGAGTAACAGTTGGAAGGCTTTCTCTCCACTATGGTTGAAGTAGAGTTTACCTATGTTTTTTTTCTAATACTTGTATAGTTTCATATTTTTACTTTAGATCCCTAATCTATTTGGAGTGTATTCTTATACATGGTGTGAAATATGGATCAAATTTTATCATTTTCCAGATGGCTACTCAGTTGTCCCAATGTCATTTATTAAAAAGCCCTTCTTTATCTCAGTGCTTTGAGATGCTACCTTCATTATATACTAAATTTCCATAAGTACCTCGGA